AGAACTGTGGTGCCCAGAACTGGACACAGTACTCCAGGTGAGGTCTGACCAGAGCAGAATACAGTGGCACTATTACTTCCCTTGATCTAGGTGCTATACTCCTATTGATGCAGCCCAGAATTGCATTGGCTTTTTTAGCTGCCACGTCACACTGTTGGCTCATGTCAAGTTTGTGATCAACCAAGACTCCTAGATCCTTTTCACATGTACTGCTCTCAAGCCAGGTGTCCCCCATCTTGTATTTGTGCCTCTCATTTTTTTTGCCCAAGTGCAATACTTTACATTTCTCCCTGTTAAAGTTCATCTTGTTTGTTTTGGCCCAGTTCTCTAATAGTTACCTCATCTACATTTTACCAGCTTTTCTGCAAGAATATCATGGGGGGCTTCATCAAAAACCTGGATAGGTATAGATAACTGCACAGTAAAATGCACAGAAGGAGACAAGTTAGCAATAGTGACACAAAAATACAGCAAGAATGACCAAAAAGGGGACTTCGTTAGCAGTGAGGTTTTAAGCAGGGATGGCCAAAGAGAGGCTGTAGTGGTCAGAGGCAGGGGATACAGAACTGAGAAATAAAGCAGTTTTGTGGGCTTTGGGGGCTGTCTCTTTTCCGTGAAAAATTGGCTAGAAATAATTGGATGCCTCTGGTACTGGAGGTGAGATTACTATAGTAACAAGTGACACCTGCAACAAAATGTTGGGAAGTGTATCCCATTTATAATTCCAGGCAGTCAATAACACAAGCCTTGCAATACTGTTCAATGGTGTTGGTGGGGAGGAGAGAAGACAAGTTTCATGAGTTGAAAAGGTATAAGGACATCATTTTTCTTCACCCACCTACCCACCGAAAAGGGTTCCCTCTGTTCTATATAGCGTTGCAGGACTGCCAAGCCAAAACCAGAGTGGAGGATGTGAAGTTTTAGTGATGAGAAAGGCATCTCTCCAATCCAACCTTAATTCTCTCTTTCTCCAGGATACTTTCTATAAGCTGTTTGGGGTGTGTGTAGGTTGATTCCCTTTCCTGCCTCTGACCTCCGTTGTGTGTGTGATGGAGAGAGGATACTTACAACTGACGCATGAACATTCTGTGTCTCAAAGTGCACTTAGCCACTAACTTGATTAATAGAGCCACACAATCAGTCTTCTAATTTCTTTAAACCCTTCCCCCCACCCCCACTTTTCTATGTAGGCTCCACTGCCATCCACATTATGCAAGCTCACGGGTTTCTGTCAGGCAGCACTTATATACTTCTGTATGTTTGTCGTGTCCCCTGAGTTTGTAAAAGCTACTGTTTCACGTCAAACTGATAGGCTGCCACTGTTTGCTTTTAAACAAAACGATAATATAAACAAATAGCAGCTTTATATATTCGGTACATAAAGGGCCAGCAGTTCACAGCTGGAAAGCAACAAAATACCAAGGATGTATTTGCAAATCACCTTCAAAAAAGTCTACCACTCACCTCTATGTGGAAATATAATCAGACACTGAAATAGCTAATAATACTAATAATACTTCTATGTATTATTGCCTAGATAATTACTTTTGCCTGGTTACTAACTGCAAAAAATGTAGTGATGATTCATAAACTGCAATACTAATTAAACAAAAAAGTTTTGATTTTGATTTTTTACTTTATCCATACTTTACTAAAATCTTCATTATTGATTTATTTACCAGATCTCTGGCATTACAAATTAGCATAGATTCGACCCACACTGAATTATCGATAAAAAGTGGCAAACAGTAGCTGTAGCTATCTCAAGCTGGACTACAGCTAAACGAGATTGTTTCTGATCTACTTTCAAGTTGGTCCAAGCTTTTATTCTAACATCTCACTTAACTCCTTGAAAAAGGCTGAAGTATTGTGCAATATGTTCCAATGAACATATTGTGACTTACTTCTGAGTAAACATGCATAGAATTGTATTATTAGACTGTTTTTGGAGACTAAAATATGACAATATTTAACATGAGGAGTGCTCTATAAAAAATAAAATGTAATCTGTTGCATTTTTAGAAGATTGGTAAATTGTCTAGCAATCACAAAGAAATATGGCTTTGCTCCCAGCATTATGACTTTTCCATGACTAAGTTGCCATTCCATATCCTTGCTATTTCAGAAAAGCCCATATTCATTTTCTACAATGTACAAATTTTAGCTGTTTACTTACCATAAACCTTCATGTGGTTTTATAGCATTCAAGAGAAGTTACTAAGCAAAGTGTAGTTCATTTCACTTTGTCCATAATTAAAACATTCTTTTATACAAACAGATCTTAATGTCCTTAAATAGGCTTTAAGCCAGCCATGTAAACTGAAGATAATTTTGTCTAATGGAGAACTGCAGAATTTAACACCGAGTTTTAGAAGTGAGTAATATATAACAACCTTGAGTTTGCTTTCTCCTGCTTCTACTTTTCCTTCTTTCGGCCTTGTCCCAAATGAAAATATCATTTGTGGGGTGCAGGGATTACTCTTGAGATTACTGTTTCACTATAATTGCAAAGAACTGATATGAAAAGATAAACTGAATCAGTCAATCTGTTGGTGTGTATAGTAATGAACCACAAAAAACTTACACAGTGCTTTTTTGTCAACACCCCTTCAAGCCAAGTTTAACATTAATACATATTATTGGTACTAGTAATACTCCTTCTCTCTAAGAGCATTAAGAATATCCATAGAGGTGGTCCTAAAAGGGAAAGGGGGTATCATACAAAAGTAGGAAAGCTTCTTTATAAAGTATCACACAGTGGGACAATGGATATTTTGTCATAAGACACAACGTGGTCTAACTAGTGTTTAAGGAGCTAAGAAGCAGAACAATTCTATTTATCTGCATATCAGACTACCTACTTTCCAAAGTGTCTGGTGCCATCATCCCACTAAATAATAACAACAACATGGGGAAAATTCAAAGGCAAGGCGATGCAACAAAAGACAAGTGCCTCTTCAGCACCATGGACAGGAACAAGCAGATACTACCATCAATGCAGTCATAAACATGTCCTGCGCGTAATGTGAGTCACAGCAACTACTGACCAGACTTTCTCTTCTTCTTCTTCTTCTTCAGATATTGTGGCAGATATTGTGTCAACATTGTTTCTTCAAGTGTTATGGCAAATATTAGATCAACACTGTGTACCACTTATTAACTAGACATTTCGTTAGACACTTTAATATATAGGCATGACCCAGATATGCCTCAATCCCATCAAAAACAGAGGATGAGGGTCTATGTTTATGAGCAAAAAGAGTGAGCAGGTGGGAGGTACTGAGGCTTCCCTTGTCTCTCTGTTTTCTTCCCACAGTCAGTCAGTCCCACCTCCCAAACACTTTTCTCTCCAATGCTACAGAACTAGGTTTGCCTGTCTGGGAGAAAAGTGACGGAATGGAAGAGTTGAGGAGAAATAAACTGTTGAGTGGAAGAGGATTCAGTACTCCCAACATATACAACCCTTTTGCTTTAAAATCAGCTCCCTGCCCCCGTTTGTTCATGACTGGTTCCTTTTTAAAGACATTATCATCACTAATTTCAACCTAATTTGTATGCACAATCAAGCCAGAGTTAAGCACTTTTACACAGCACTGATTTCAATGGGAGAGTTAAGTACATGCTTAAATCTCTTCTATTGAAAGTAATGGAGCTTAATTGACTGTATTTTGCCCTATGCATGAAACAACATTAAAATGGAAAATAATAATAATAATAATAATAATAATAATAATAATAATAATAATGTAACATATAGAGAGGGACTACCAATTTCCTGTATAACTAGATCACTATCCATTACTGAAATGCCAAGTCCTCTGCAAGAACAATATTTTCGGTGTTCAGGATTCCTTATCAGCCAATACCATTGTTGAATAGAAAATGATAGCAGTATACTTATGCACATTTTTAATGCTTTGCAAATTGTTTTCTATATAAAACATAACCTGTGAGTTCATTAATTCTGATACAGAGAGAGTTTATCTTCAGCAAATAACTTTATATGGATGTTAGAACACAGTTGCAGCAATGAAAATTTTGAAATGAGATAAATACTGTTACATTTTTTAAGCCATACATTTGACTAAGGTTTTGCAAAGATTTGGGAATACAATGACAATGGTGTCCCTAGAATTGACTTACCTCCTCAGGTCAAATCCAGCACTTGAACCATTGATTTTAATGTTGTATCATATTCCATCTTAAGCAAATATATTTACACAACATGTTTTTAGAAATACAATACTACACCAGTTATTAATGTCCTTGGTAAATTTGCTGCAGTTTCAGAAGAGTTTGACTTCCCACAAAAAGTTCACTATATTATTATGGGTTTGAAATTTTCATTTTTATATTTCCAAAGTTAGCAGGACTTAGATTTAACACATACTAAGTACTGTAGTTAAAAACATCATAATATATCATTCTGATATACCAGCATTGGCATAAATGCATGTAAATTGGTAGGTATCATCCCATTTCTGATTCCGTTGGAGAATAATATTGACTTTCCTGAGGTTAGACTAAAGTTTGTAAAAATATACTTACTCTTTCTCAGACAGATACATTCACCTTTAAAATATTTTAAAAGAATTTACAATTTTGGTCCAACACTAACATGAGAGCAAGATCACCAAATTTTAAATTGGATTTCAAGCATGTAACTCATCACCTGTTGTTCCCTAACATTCAAACGGAGGTAGGTGAATGGAAATTTAAACACTGGGATCTCAATATGCAAGAGGAAAAATATTAAAATTAAAGCGATCTTACAATTGCAAGGACCTCTCATTATTGTGCTCAATTAGAGATGGAGAACTCCCATACTTCTGCACATCACCACAGACAGTTAGATCAGAGGCACTTCCTTGATCAAAACACAGGTGTACATTGTCACTTTCCTCACGCAATTTTGAAACACAAAATCGGAAAAGCAATCATGGCAACATGGCTTTTTTTATATTCTGCTCAGGTAGCTACCAAAACCAATATGCACTTACCCAAGGGTGGTCATAGTGACAATGGTATACCAGAAAGCTGCAGGGATGCTGGTGAATTTGGTGGACGTTGAGCCTTTCTCAGCATAGAACATGACCGTAGCAAAGATTATGATGGCCATAGTGAGAGAAAAGAGGAGAAAGCCAAGCTCTGATGCACAGCTTTTCAGAGTGTAGCCCAGGATGCGCAAACCCTGCGAGTGGCGGGAAAACTTAAAGATCCGGAAGACACGGAAGACACGCAGTGTTACAAAGGCCCCACTGACATCCTCATTGTTGGTCATCACAAGACCAATGTAATAGGGCATAATGGCCACTACATCAATGATGCTCATGACACTACGCACAAACTTGTAACGGCTCGGGGCAGCCACTAGACGCAACAGATACTCAACTGTGAAGATCATGACACAGGCCGTATCCAGGCAGAAGAAAGCCACATCATAGCGCTCTCCACAGGACAGCTCCTTGATGGTACCAGGACTTAGCCCACAGGGTACTGTCTCCACTACATTGGCAAGGACGGAGACGGCAATGAAGAAGCCCGTAACATAGTAAAATACCAGGGCCAGCGTGCTGGTGTGTGGATTCTCAAAGGCCCGCCACATCCTCTCCCGCGCTGTCATGGAGGGCAGATTGCATTCATCGGCATTATCCTGATCAGCATCATCCTGAAGACGTTCGGCATTTTCCCGCCGCCGGTCCTTATATTCCTCATAGCAACAGTCACCAATGATCTCGGGGATTATACCAAAGAAGGCCAACTCCTCATCATAGGCTGAGATGCACTCTTGACGCGGGTAGTGTAGCTTCCCTGTTCGGTAGAAATTGAGGATGTGTCGGAAGATGTCAGGGTCCCGGTCGAAAAAGTATTGCTGCGTCTCAGGATGGTAGAAGAAATCCCTTTCTGAGCTGCCCAGCAGCGTGTCAGGATAGCGTTCCAGGGTATCCAGCCAGGTCTGGAACTGGGTGCCACTGACATTCAGCACAATCAGAGAGTCCTGGCTACGCTTCCTCTCTTGGCGAGGGGCAGTCGGCATGGGGTTTGTGGCCACCGGCATCCATCCTATAGCAGCTGCCCGAGCAAAAGGCAGCCATGCTGCTACTCCTGCTGCCATGGTGTAAGTTGCTACTGGTTTGCCCAGGGGTTCTTTTTAGAAATAATCCAGTCTACATAAAATAAAACAAAATGTACCAAGAAATTAGGATGCCTGCTATTTCCAAAGAATATAAATTTCTATGTTTATGTCTGTTGCTTTGAGGTTTATTTTATCATTCTATTATTTTATATGTTTAGTCTACCGATGTGTTACTTGGTGTTCTACTGTTGGGATCATTTCATAGAGTGAAGAGCAGTATCAACATACTCTGAGTACATAATGAAAACCTTAGCCATTTCTCCCCTCTTACTCTATGTCTCCTTCTCTTATTTGCCACCATTCCATCATTATTCAAGTCAGACTAAGAAATCGGATTTTGTATATTAACTATTGATGGTAGCTGGATAGATGTCATGTAGTACTATAATCCCCAAACTGGCACCTCCTGTCTCTACCACTTGGTTCCTGATAAGGAAATCTCCACATGCAGAAAAATACAGCAATAGGGCAGCAGCTGCAAGAGGTAATCAGTCAGCCAGCCTGCCAGGTCCAATAAGCAGCAGTTAGATAATATTCCAGGCCAAAGGCACAGTCTACTAGCTAGGAACAATTCCTGTACTGTCCTGATTCCTGGAGATGCACTCCAAGCCCAAATCCCTTCCCACCTACTCCTACATTCAGCTGCAAATATCTGGCTTGGAAATGAAGAGAGAGAGAGCAGATGATTATGCTATGTTCCCTTTGGTAAATCCTTAAGCTATGCTGCTGAAGGAACACTTGCTAATTTTTCCACATCAATTTATTAGGAAACAGCAGGTTTAGGAAGATGTCCACTCTGAATTCACAGCTGATTTCACATCATGTCAACCCATCACTCACCTTCTCCAGACTCCTCCTGTTCTGGGGAAACAGGGCAAAGGGATAAAGGCAAACCAGTAGCTTAAAAGTTAGGGAAAGACAAGCTTTCTTTTAAGAAAACTTGTGGAGAGACAGTTTGACTCCTGAGGAACAGGTAATGGAGGGAACAGGTGTTTAGAAGAAAATGGGACCTGGATTCTGCAAGCTGTCTTAGGGAAGGTGAAGAGGAAAAAAGAAATAGAGTACCTTAGTAAGCAAGGTGGGCATATTGAACAATTGGGGAAAGTCAAAATGTGACTTTCTCTGGGCAGAAGTTCAGGAAGAAGGGCCAGTTGTGGGTGCAGGAATAAAAGTAGGAAACTCTGAGGGAGAGGTTCTTATGAAAGGGGGGGGGCATATTTTATTAAATGGAGAGAGAAAAGGCAGGAGCTTCGTAACAGGTTGGGGAGGGGGGAAATGAAGGAGATGTTGGGGGGGGGGAGGGAGAGGTGTTGGGAGTTTGTTCCTGAGAGGATAAGGATGGAACTTGAGGGTGCTGGTGTGGGTAGAGGGGAACCCAACTGATTTGAGTTTGCAGATGCAGTCAAGTTAGGCTAGACTAGAGTATTCATAGTTCAGGAAGAGGAAGAGAGGGTCAGTGGGTGTCTGGGGAGCAGGAGGGAAATCTCCTGCCTGACCATCTTCAGGAAAGGTTGAAGACACCTTGGGGTCCTATGAGCAAGTGTGGGTGTTTATGGGTGCCTTGGGGCATGGGCATAGGCAGGACTTTGTTAGGGGGCGGGACTTTGGTTAGGGGGGCAGAGCCGACGTGAGAGGTCAATTAGTTATTTCTATTGTTTTACTTGATCTAGGGGGGACATCTGCCCCCTGCCCCCGCCATGCCTTAGGGAGTACAGGGATGTCAGAAAATAAGTAAGCTTAGGGAGTCCGAAGATACTAGGAGGGAGAGGGGGAAATACAGCTCACGCAGCGCAAAAGAAAACAGTTCCAGCAACAGTTCCACAAAAAAGAGATTTATGGGCAATATGAAACCGAGGACACGCGGGGGGGGGCAGGAGGACATAGGCAGGAAGTTCATTTTGTAGTCTCTGGGAGGAAACGGGGCTGGTGGGGTGTGATTTTTTCCCCCTGGGGATACCCCCCCCCCCCAACAATCTAATGAAAGAGATTAGAAAGCAAATAAACTGCCTCCGTTCTCTGGGGAGCCCAGAGCGCTCTCTGTTTCTCTCCCCACCCCTCCCGCTTCCTGCAACCCCCCCCCTTGCCCGAATTCGCCTCGCCCGCCCCCCAAAAAAGGAGCGAAAAAGGCGCGCGCCTTCCCTCAGCGCCGCCTCGCCTGGCCGCCTCTCGAGCCCTCGCAAACTCTCCTCGCCACTTGATGCTGCCGAGCAGGTGGCGCGGCGCCCAAAACCTCTGGCGGCGGCAGCGGAGAGAGAGGGAATTAAACATTAAAAAAAAAAAAAACCCGTTGCTGACCCGTGTGTGTGTGTGCGGCTTCCTAATAATATGGAGTAGGGGCGTGTGACCGGTGTGTGTGTGTGTGTGTGTGGAGGCGAGGAGGTGGGGGGTGTCTCTTTCCTGAGGTGGGCTCCCTCCCTCCCTCCCTCCCTCCCTCACAGTATCTCCTCACCTGGCGAAGTCGCCTCGTGGCCGGGGCGCCCCGTTTGGCATGGAGGTGGCGGGCGCGCGTGCGTCTCTCCCCCCCCCCCGCCACCTCTCTCCGCGAGAGGCTTCTCCTCCTCCGCCCGCCCCTTCTTCCCGCCGCTTCCCCTCAGCAACAAGTTCGACGGCGGCGGGCGGCGGGGCGGCCGGTGGGCGTGTGGCGAGAGCGACGCAATCCCGCCTGCTGGCGGCTCAATGCAGACCCGCTTCTTCTTCTTCCTCTCCTCCTCCTCCTAGGAACCAGCCCTGCTCGGCGGCGGCGGTTCCAGTCAGGCAGTCGGAGGGCTGCTGCTGCTGCCGCCGTCCATGCCGCGGGCTGCTGCTGCTGCTGCTGCTGCTGGCGGAGGGCAGGGCTGGGGGCGAAGACCGGCTTCCTCCTCGCTGCTGCTGCTGCTGCCTTTCCAGTGGGTGGCCCATGCCTGGCAGAGCCGGGCGAGGGGGGGGGGGGCTTCTTGCTTGCCGCCGCCGCCGCCGAGGATGCTGCCGCTGCCGCTCCTGTCGCCGCTCGGGGCTGGCGGGGCTGCGGAGAAAGAAGCGGGGAAGACGGCAGCAGCAGGAGGCGGAGGAGGGGAGAGAAGCCCACCCTGCTGCTGCCGCCGCCGCCGCTGCTGCTGCTGCTGCAGGTTATGATTTCACACAGGCGCCTCTTTCGCCTCCTCCCACCCGGCAAATGTCACTGGGGCGGCGCGGGGGGGGGGGCGGGAAGGCGGAGGGAGTCCCGGTGCGGAGGAGGAGGAGGAGGAGGGCATCGATCCGGAGAGGAACAAAGAGAATTGCAAATCGGTGCACACTCCGGCTTGGCAACACGGGCGAAGGGGCAGCGGGTGTGTGTGTGTGTGTGTGTGTGTGTGTGTGTGTGTCGCTCTGCCCCCATCGGAATCACGCAGGCGACACCTTGGTTGTCCGTCTGCCCCGCCACACACGTTTTCTGAATGAGTCTTTGCAGAAGGTGGTTTTTCTCTCTCCCCCCCCCCCCCGTTTTCTAATATTTCTGAAACTTTGTGGGATTCCCAAGAATGGCCATTTGCAAATGACAAGCAAGTAAGCTGAGGTTATGCAATGTTTCGCTGGGTTTTGCAGCCGCCGCTGGCCAAATCGCCTTGAACCAGCTTTCGAAAATGATCGTCATTCCTGGGAGGTTTCTCTCTCTCTCTCTCTTCTCTCTCTCTCTCTCTCTCTCTCTCTCTCTCTCTCTCTCTCTCTCTCTCTCCCGTTTTCCAAATCATCTTCGCTTATCGCCGTCCGCTTTGGAAAACCAGCATCCCTTTCTTTTTGACCGCTAGATGGCGCATAGAGGACGAGTAAGTCTCCACTGCACCTTCATGGCTCCAACTTCAGAAATGGTTGATACCTGTTGTCTGAGCTGGACCACTTCAGCCTGGGGTGATGTTACAGGGCTGAAATGCTTCTTGGTCGAAAAATTATATCTGCATAAGAACTGGATGTCGGGGAAAGGCATCCTCTCCTCTCTTTTTCTTCCCAAGAATATATGAATCAGGAATTTAATTGTATATAGAGGAACCAGAAGCGACCCACCCCATTATGCCGCCTGAGGCAAATCAGGAATGTGTGGCATGTGGTGTACAGCTTAGATGCATGTAATCGAATCATAATGCATGTAATCATACATGCATCTAAGCTGTACACCACATGCCACACAGTCAAACTTTGAACACATGGTGCTCTTCCTACTGATATTCCTTCTGCCGCAATGTGGGGTGGCCCATCCTTTCCTGCCAACCTAGCAGTTCGAAAGCACGTCAAAATGCAAGTAGATAAATAGGTACCGCTCTGGCGGGAAGGTAAATGGCGTTTCCGTGCGCTGCTCTGGTTCGCCAGAAGCAGCTTAGTCCTGCTGGCCACATGACCCGGAAGCTGTACACCGGCTCCCTCGGTCAATAAAGTGAGATGAGCACCGCAACCCCAGAGTCGGCCACGACTGGACCTGATGGTCAGGGGTCCCTTTACCTTTACCTTTAAGGCAAAACAGGAAGGTCCTGCCCTGTGTGTGCACTGTGCAGCACTCACCTCACTAAAGCCTTGCTTACTGGGGTCACAGCTGAGAGGTTTGCTGGAATATAGTTCTGGAATCTAGTATATCTTTCAGTTCTTAGAATCATAGAGTTGGAGGGGACCCTGAGGATCATCTAGTCCAACTCCTACAATGCAGGAATATGCGGCTGTCCCATACGGGGATTGAACCTGCAACCTTGGCATTATCAGTACCACGCGCTAAGCAACTGAGCTATTGCTCAAAATTGTATAAATCCTAGGTTAAGATGATGATGTGCTGAATGATGAGAAAGCAGTGGTGGTGGTAAATCACTATTGTATAAATGTAAAGAAGACAATGTGCAGTAGAACCACAAAAAGAATTAATAGGGCAATTTTAGCTACAGATCTTAACTGAAGCCAATAACTAGTGGAAACTTAATGAAGACAATGGAAGCAATGTTTCCTTTCTCATCATCTTATTTGAAGGCACTTTCTCCCCCCCCAAAAAAAAGCCTCTCCAGAAGATCAGGGGACCCTCCTAGAGAAAGTGGGAATTGCACAAGAGTGTGCTTCAGTCAGAGAAGCTGTTCTGGTTTCTAATTTGATCCTGGAATGTCCCACTTTTCCTTAGGATGCCCCTATTTTCATTGGAGAACTGTTGTAGGGTATGAAGTTATCCTACCCCTGAGCCGTCTGAAGGCAATCCTGTATAGGGAAGTATTTTTTTACTGTTTAATATTTTATTATGTTTTTATATATGTTGGAAGCTGCCCAGAATAGCTGGGGCAACCCAGTAAGACGTGTGGGGTATAAATAGTAAAATTATAATTATGGACTGGGACGTCCCTATTTTCATCAGAGAAATGTTGGAGGGTATGTAAGCATGTGTGGAGCATGTTTCTTGCACATTGCACAACCACAACCAGTCTTCAGGCAGGAGTTAGGGCAAGAAGCATTTCTGGTCAGGCTTGCATCCCAGTACATGTGAGAAGTTAAAATCCTCACCTACCAGCAGCTTAATGACTGCTGCTGAAACCTAGCCCAGAATTAGAGAAGGGGGTCTGTCTGAGCAATGTTTTAAAATGACGTGCACTATGAATGCACTACCAGGCACCTTCACGGTAATTATTAAAGGTATGCATATGTACTGTACAACAGTTAGAGGAGTGATTTATGACGGTAAATGAATGAAGTCATTGTTGATGGTGCAATGTTGCATTACATTTACATAATGTTTCAATAAAATGTGCTTGGTAGACAAAGACGAGCTCTTCATTTTAAACAACATATGGTTTACTCTCACATTTTAAAAAAATAATTAACTGGATCTTGCAACACAGGGTCTATTTTTTAAAACTATTTCAGTGGTGGGGCCTGCAACATATTGGTTGTGTTGGGGGGAACTGGTTGCAATGTTGCCCCCTCCCCACACTGTACAGAACAGGGGCTACACAACAGAGAAGGATGTGTATTAAGATCAGAGGTGGTGACTAATCTTTTTTTGGCCAATCCTCTAAGGACCACTTGCCAGTAGTGGGTGATCACCCTTCCTTCCTTCCTTCTTTCCTTCTTTCCTTCCTTCTTTCTTTCTTTCCTTCCTTCTTTCCTTCCTTCCTTCCTTCCTTCCTTCCTTCCTTCTCACCCCACCACCTACCCCCCCCTCTCTCTCTCTCACACACACACACACACACACACACACACTCCTCATCTGATCCTTGCAGGTCAGCTAAGAAAGGCTCCCCTCTTCACTGATCAAGTGATGGATCTGATGACTAGAGAAGGGACACTTTGAATCCTTATGAGGACCCTGGGCTCTGTCCAGCTCAGCGGTGTGCCTACTTTATTTTCTTTCTTTTTTTGCTACTGTCACCAAAATTAGTGGAGTCTTAGGGGGCAGAATAACTTTTTGGGGAGACTAGGTCTTAGCCACCCTGAATTATAAGTGAAAACAGTTGGACAAAACTTTCATTAGGGTGTAGCAGGAGTGATGCTTTAAATAGACTGACCTTGAAAAGCTGTGTTATATTGAGCTTTGTGCAGACAAGAGCTTTAACACCCCAGATATTGCAAAAAAATATAAATGTCGTAATTGTATTATTAAAAAGCCCTGCTCTTCAATTTCCTGTAAGCTAGTCAGGACATGCAGAATAAATGTCAGTGATGCCATTTTCAAATTCTAAGTGAAAGGGCAGGGCCTCTGATCTAATAATGTTGGAAGATAATGTTTTGACTGCTATCAAAGCAGCTGATTGATGTCTTCACTTCAGTAGGACAGCAACGAGCCATTGTGTACTACCAAAAATGTGTTTAAAGTGTGTTTTCCTGCTGGCCAGTCTCCCACAATATATCCTTATTAAAACCTTTCTTTAAATTCTGCAAACTTTTAAAGAATTGCAGCAATACTTTGCTCAGAAGTTACCTTATGGACCCACTCCATAGGAAGTACATTTAGGATTGCAAGACTCCAGTTGTAAATTGAAACTTGTTGATGTTTAGGATCAAGAGCAGCCTATAGTTAAACATTTCTGATGCCCCTGTGATATTTTCTGTAAGTCTTAAAGGGGGGGGGAATCCTTTCATTAAACTGCATTAAGTTGGAGAACTTGTTTGTAAAAAATATTCAGATTTGTACATTTAATGTGACATTTTTGTGTGTGTCTAAATCACAAGAATTGGATTGTCATTGCAAACAAATAGTTGAAAGTTGTTTCAGAAAACTTTGGTCAGAAATGTGCTGGCTAAATTTTTATTGGTAAATTCATTTGTATTGTCTCTCTGCAGAGGTTAGATGTATAATGGATTATTCCCACAGCTTCATTCGTTGGTCAATAAACCTCATATAGACTTACAAGAAAAGTTCAACAATTCAACAAGAACTTCAGCCTGGAAAAAAAATTTCCCTCTGATGTTTGCTCAAATCTAACCAGTTATTTCTAAGTGAATCATCTCTCAGAGACAACTGCTAATCAATTTCCATTTTGAGACATGAAATTAGTCCAGCAAACGATTCATATTTCTGAATACAAAGTACAAAAGACTGTAAAAATCTAAACATGCTATATATTTTGGGAAGTAGTTTGCATCTCTGTCTATTCTCTCTGTGTACAGGCACCTGTTGAAATATTGTTACCCATTTGGCCTGACTGTTCCCGAGATTAAGTTGTGGGTTTGGGGAAATGTTTGGATAGTGGTGCATACTGATTTGAGTCCAAATTGTGAACTGAACCATTCCAAACTGCACAGATTGGGATGCCTCTGAAGATGTTCCTACCCTATTTAGTTCCTTGAGTGGGATTTGGTCTATGTGGTGAGTGGGGCCAGAGGCAAAAGTGGGTGGAACAATGAATATAAAATTTACCTTTGCTCACTAGGCTTGTTTTTACAGACACACCGTCTCAGGAGCAAAATTGTTAGGGGGTGCAAAATGTCAACACTCAGTGCTGCCTCAATACAGAGGTACCTCAGGTTACATGCGCTTCAGGTTACATACGCTTCAGGTTACAGACTCCGCTAACCAAGAAATATTACTTCGGGTTAAGAACTTTGCTTCAGGATGAGAACAGAAATCGTGCTCTGGTGGCGCAGCGGTAGCAGGAGGCCCCATTAGCTAAAATGGTGCTTC